CTGCCCCACACCCTGCCCCACATCCTGCCCCACGTCCTGCCCCACACCTCCTGCCCCACACGCTGTGGGTCTGCCCCACACCTTGGGGATCCATCTTGGGGGGGATCCCCAAATCACTCCCATCTCCAGGAAAAATGGGGGGTTGGGGGGCAGATATGGGGCAGGGACAGGACCCCCCTGCCCCACACCCTGCCCCACATCCTGCCCCACATCCCCTGCCCCACACGCTGTGGGTCTGCCCCACACCTTGGGGGGGGGACATACTCCTTGGAGACAGGAGTCAAGGGGGGAACCCCCAAAAAACTCCCGTTTCCAGGAAAATGAGGGGTTGGGGGGCAGATATGGGGCGGGGACAAGACCCTCCTGCCCCACACCCTGCCCCACATCCTGCCCCACATCCTGCCCCACACCTCCTGCCCCACACGCTGTGGGTCTGCCCCACACCTCGAGGAACCATCTTGGGGGAGGACACTCAAGAGTCGAGGGGGGGAACCCCCAAAAAACTCCCATTTCCAGGAAAAACGGGGAGTTGGGGGGCAGATATGGGGTGGGGACAGGACCCCCCTGCCCCACACCTCCCTGCCCCACACGCTATGGGTCTGCCCCACACATTTTCCCCCCCCCAAATAGCGTCATCATCCCCGAGAAGCTGGACGGGTTCATCAACAAATACGCCGAGTTCACCCACGAGAAATGGGCCTTCGACAAGGTGGGGACCTCCCTGCCCCACACTTGGGGGGCAGCCCCTGCCCCACACTTTGGGGGCGGCCCCTGCCCCATAACCTGCCCCCCAACTTCCCCCCTCTGCCCCATAGATCCAGAACAATTGGTCCTTCGGGGAGACTCTGGATGAAGAAGCCAAGACCCACCCCATGCTCCGGCCCTACAAGACCTTCTCGGAGAAGGTGGGTCCTGCCCCATAAGTGGCCCCACACCCTGCCCCATAAGTGATCCCACCGCTCCTGCCCCACACGGACCCTCCCAGCCCCACACGGGACCCACATCTGCCTCCTTCTCCCCACGGTTCGAGGGGATTGGGGATGGTGAGGACGTGGGGATGGGGACACCAGCCCCACATGGGACCCCCCAGCCCCATAAGTGACCTCCCCAGCCCCATAAGTGACCCCTCAGCCCCATAAGTGACCCCACACCCCGCCCCATAAGTGACCCCCCTGTTCCTGCCCCACACGGACCCTCCCAGCCCCACACGGGACCCACATCTGCCTCCTTCTCCCCATAATTCGAGGGGATGAGGATGGTGGGGACGTGGGGATGGGGACACCAGCCCCATAAGTGACCTCCCCAGCCCCATAAGTGACCCCACACCCCGCCCCATAAGTGACCCCGCCCCACATCTGCCCCCCAAGGACAAGGAGATCTACCGGTGGCCCATCAAGGAGTCGCTGAAGGCCATGTTGGCCTGGGAGTGGATGGTGGAGAAGGCCCGCGAGGGGGAGGAGGACAAGGTGGAGAAGAAGAAGACCCGCAAGATCTCCCAGTCTGCCCAGGTGGGGCCCCCAGACCCATAGATTTCATCTATGGGGCGGGGAAGGAGCACCCCCGATGACTTAGGGGTCAAGGAGGACCATGGGGTGGGGAAGGAGAACCTCAATTGCTTAGAGGTCAATGAGTTGCGTGGGGTGGGGAAGGAGAACCTCAACCATCTGGGGATCTATGGGGTGGGGATGGAACCCCCCAACCCTTTGGGGTTCTATGGGGCAGGAAGGTGCCCCCCAACTCCTGGGGGGGTCCATGGGGTGGGGAAGGGCCCCCCCAATGACTTAGGGGTCAAGGAGGACCGTGGGGTGGGGAAGAGGACCGTGGGGTGGGGTAGGAGAACCTCAATCGCTTGGAGGTCAATGGGGTGGGGAAGGAGCCCCCCAACACCTGGGGGATCTATGGGGTGGGGATGGAGGACCTCCAAAGACTTAGGGGTCAATGAGGACCATGGGGTGGGGAAGGAGAACCTCAACCATCTGGGGATCTATGGGGTGGGGAAGGAGCCCCCCAACCCCTGGGGGTTCTATGGGGCAGGAAAGCGCCCCCCAACCCCCGGGGGGGTCTATGGGGTGGGGAAGGTGCCCCCCAACCCCTGGGGGTCTATGGGGCAGGGAAGGGCCCCCCCAGTGATGTAGGGGTCAACGAGGACCATGGGGCGGGGAAGGAGAACCTCAATCGCTTGGAGGTCAATGGGATGGGGAAGGAGAACCTTGGTCATCTGGGGGTCTATGGGGCAGGGATGAAGCCCCCCAACCCCTGGGGGTTCTATGGGGCAAGAAAGTGCCCCCCAACCCCTGGGGGCATCTATGGGGTGGGGAAGGAGACTTAGGGGTCAATGACGACCAAGGAGAACCTCAACCATCTGGGGATCTATGGGGCGGGGATGGAGCCCCCCAACCCCCGGGGGGGTCTATGGGGCAGGGAAAGTGCCCCCCAACCACTGGGGGGATCTATGGGGCAGGAAAGCGCCCCCTAACCCCTGGGGGGGTCTATGGGGTGGGGAAGGAGACTTAGGGGTCAACGAGGACCATGGGGTGGGGAAGGAGAACCTCAACCATCTGGGGATTTATGGGGCAGGGATGGAGCCCCCCAACTCCTGGGGGGTCTGTGGGGCAGGAAAGCACCCCCCAACCCCCAGGGGGTCTATGGGGTGCCCCCTCCCCACATCTCGCCCCACATTTTCCCCCCCACAGGCCACCTACGACCCTACCCACGGCTACAACCCCCAACCCGTGGACCTCTCGGGGGTCACCTTGTCCCGGGAGCTGCAGGTGAGTGTGTGGGTCCTGCCCCACAAGTGGGGGGGGGTGTCCCCTGCCCCACATCTCCCCACATCTCCCCATAACCCCCCTTTCTGCCCCCCAGGCCATGGCGGAGCAGTTGGCCGAGAACTATCACAACACGTGGGGCCGCAAGAAGAAGCTGGAGCTGGAGGCCAAGGGTGAGGACCCACAAGTGTGACCCCCAACTCCTGCCCCACATCTCCCCATGGGTCCTCCTCGCCCCACATCTCCCCATGGGTCCTCCTCGCCCCACATCTCCCCATGGGTCCTCCTCGCCCCACATCTCCCCATGGGTCCTCCTCGCCCCACATCTCCCCATGGGTCCTCCTCGCCCCACATCTCCCCATGGGTCCTCCTCGCCCCACATCTCCCCATGGGTCCTCCTCGCCCCACATCTCCCCATGGGTCCTCCTCGCCCCACATCTCCCCATGGGTCCTCCTCGCCCCACATCTCCCCATGGGTCCTCCTCGCCCCACATCTCCCCATGGGTCCTCCTCGCCCCACATCTCCCCATGGGTCCTCCTCGCCCCACATCTCCCCATGGGTCCTCCTCGCCCCACATCTCCCCATGGGTCCTCCTCGCCCCACATCTCCCCATGGGTCCTCCTCGCCCCACATCTCCCCATGGGTCCTCCTCGCCCCACATCTCCCCATGGGTCCTCCTCGCCCCACATCTCCCCATGGGTCCTCCTCGCCCCACATCTCCCCATGGGTCCTCCTCGCCCCACATCTCCCCATGGGTCCTCCTCGCCCCACATCTCCCCACGGGTGCTCCTCGCCCCATGGAGAACATCCCCCATGGAGAACATCCCCCCATGGATGGTCTTCTCCATCTCCCCATGGGTTCTTCTTGCCCCATAGATCTCCCCATGGGTTCTCCTCACCCCCCACATCTCCCCACGGGTGCTCCTTGCCCCATGGAGAACATCATCCCCCCATGGATGGTCTTCTCCTTCTCCATCTCCCCATGGGTTCTCCTCACCCCCCACATCTCCCCATGGGTCCTCCTCACCCCATAGATCTCCCATGGGTCCTCCTCGCCCCATAGATCTCCCATGGGTCCTCCTCGCCCCATAGATCTCCCATAGGTTCTTCTTGCCCCATAGATCTCCCTATGGGTCCTCCTTGCTCCCCAGCCCCACCCATGGGTGCTCCTCACCCCATAGATCTCCCATCTATCTCCTCACCCACCACATCTCCCATGGGTTCTCCTCGCCCCATACGTGTCCTATGGGTCCTCCTCGCCCCATAGATGTCCCATGGGTCCCCCTCACCCCCCATCCCCACCCATGGGTGCTCCTCACCCCATAGATCTCCTATGGATCCTCTTCCTCCTATGGGTCCTCCTTGCCCCCCAATCCCTACCCATGGGTCCTCCTCGCCCCATAGATGTCCCATGGGTGCTCCTCGCCCCCCAATCCCCACCCATGGGTCCTCCTTGCCCCATAGATCTCCCATGGGTCCTCCTCACCCCACATATCTCCCATCTATCTCCTCACCCACCACATCTTCCATGGGTTCTTCTCCCCCCATACACGTCCTATGGGTCCTCCTCACCCCCCCATCCCCACCCATGGGTGCTCCTCACCCCATAGATCTCCTATGGATCCTCTTCCTCCTATGGGTCCTCCTTGCCCCCCAATCCCTACCCATGGGTCCTCCTCGCCCCATAGATGTCCCATGGGTGCTCCTCACCCCATAGATCTCCCATGGGTCCTCCTCGCCCCATAGATCTCCCATGGGTCCTCCTCGCCCCATAGATCTCCCATAGGTTCTTCTTGCCCCATAGATCTCCCTATGGGTCCTCCTTGCTCCCCAGCCCCACCCATGGGTGCTCCTCACCCCA